GAAAGGAAGAAAGAAAGGAAAGGAAAAAGGAAAGGAGGGGGGAGGGGGAGGGAGAGGCAACGCCGACGATCCCGAGAATCTTGCACCAAACGCGCCCAACCTGGAGAGACGGGGGAAAATCCTTCCAGAAGAATTTGCAGGCGTGGATTGGGGTAATTTTTTTTTTTTTTTGGCGAGATGGCGTGGGGGGATCGGAGTTAGAAACAGGGAGGAGGAGGGGGGGAGTTTCTTGGGGGAGGCAAAAAAAAAGTTTTCTCTCCTCTGCAAAAGGCGGGCAGGGCGCCCTAAGTCCAAGGACAATCCATGGAAGTGTTCGCTTCTTCACAAGTTGTGCAAACGATTTGTTAGTTCATGAGCCTAATTAGTGCGGGGATCACATAAACAGCTTCCTCCGAAGCCTGGTAAGTGGCTTGATGATTGGTCGCTATTACTCGCCCTGAGGTGGAAGGGGGGAGACTCTGAAAAGTGCGTCAGAGGGAGGCGAGCGCCTGGGAACCCGGAGGCCTGGATCCCGGCCGAGAGCGGCTTTTTCGTTTGGTCTTAAATTCCCACAGCACGCTTTCCTGAGTGGTGCAGGTACTTTAGCATCTTGCATTGCCAGGCAGATATTTATCCTTATGGGTAAAGCAATGCCGTAGTCATCTTCACGACCTGCTGAGCCCGAGCTGGTAGGACGGACGGACGGACAGACAGGCGCTCCGATTTCTTGCGCCTGGCGCTCCGCTGCTGCTGCTGTCCCCGCGCCCCCGCGGCCCCGCGTCAGGGGAGCTGGGATCGCCCCGGGAGCACCGCGCGGGTAAGCGGGCGGCGGGGATTGGCTCTGCGCGAGGGCTACCAGGACCGCTTGGTCATCCCGCACCCACGGCAACCTTTCCTAGGTGAGCAGGGAACCGGAGAGCGGGGGTCCTCGCGCAGCCTCGGGGTCTCGGGGTCGCTGCGTTTGCGATCCTGTTTGCTTTCCTGTTTGCAAGTTAAGACGGAGTCCACGGCTCTGCCGGGGCAGCGGGCTTCCTATTCGCCCCCAAGGCTCAGTGTGTCTGGGACGGTGCTCACCTCCTCCCCCCAAAACAGTTTCTTCCGTGGTCTCTGGGACCAAGGCTCCAAGGTCAGGGGGAGAGGCTGTGAGGTGCTACTGTTATCATTCCGTGGTCGTTATTATTTTGTTAGTGTTATAATTATTATTGTCGCCGTTGTTGTTATTATTTCTATTATTATTTTGCCATCTGTTGTCCCGGGGGCGGGTTGCTGTGCAAACCTAGGGCTCACAGCGAGGGACTGCAGATCGCATCTCCGGTTCCAGGCCGTGTCCGCATTTTCGAGCTCGCCTTCGGTTTTGGGATGATTTTAGGGCCGCGTTCCCTCGTCCCCATTGGCTCACGCAGTGGCATAATTATGATCACATCCCCCAGGCTGCTGGCGCTGCTCTCTGTTTATTGGTGGTTAAAGATCTATTATCTATTCATCAGCCGCCTCTTTTTTCCTCTTTTTTCTTCTTCTTTTTGCCAATTACATTCTTCAAAAAATGAAGTACCAGCAGGTATTTTGCACTTTTACAATTAATGATAAAAAGAAATCTGGCATCCTTTAAATCATGACTTGGAAGCCCATGTCATTGCTGTTAAGAATGAAGAAATGCCTGTGTTTGGTGACGAGGTTGCCTTGAGACCCAGAAAAACTCGATTGGGAAGGGGGTGGGGGAGAGAAGAGCGCAGCCTGTGATGGAGGCAGCACAGGCACCAGATTTATCCTCAGAGGGGCCCAGTTCTTAGGCCTGGCTCTCACTTCCCCAGCTGCCTCCCTCCCCACCTGGGTCTCCCTGGTCCTTCTCTGGTTTTACCTGCTGTGTACTTGTGTTCGTGTCCATCTCTCCACTCCTTAATTACAGGCGTGGTTTGTTGGGATGAGGGAATCCAAAAAACCCCTTCAGAAAACTCTCCAGGCAGGAGAGGCGTTAGGAGGGCGCTCTCTGGGACTGTCTAGGCGCCTGACCTTAGTGAGGGGGGACAGAGGCCATGTGCTGCCCCCCCGCCTCCTCCAACCTTCCCTGGGAAATTCACACGCGCACACATTCACACATCGACAGGTGTGGGTTTCACACAAGAACCCTGCCCCTCCCTCAGGCTGCAGACCTCTGACACCAGCTCTGGGCAGGGGTCCTGGCTGGGTTTTCATCCTTATTGGGTATTCAGGGCCTTGCTTTGCAGACCTCTCAGCCCCATCCTTTCCCACCCCCACCCAAGGATGTCTGTCGGATGTCCAACCCAACCTCTTGGGATGCAGTGCTCTTAAAGATCTACCTCTCTGGGGCCTGTACCACCACCCTCCAAAAATATCTTCTGTAGCTCAGGACCCC